CCTTGTCTTTCCGCTTGCTGACACTAACCCCTTTTACCCCCCCCCCCTCTGTGCATCCGCAGGTTTTTACAGCTTACGCCAGCCGGCCAGACAGCCGCCTACGCACTCCCACGACGACGACGCGTCGTCAGGATGGTCGGGCCGGTCGGACGGGCGTCAGCGACTTACACCGTGGCAACCGTGGCACACAGGCGAAGAGGAAAAAAGAACTGCGGCATGTGCTGCGCACGTCATGTCGATTTGCCGTCTTTTCAACACAAAGCTGCATCGGTTCGCCATTTCCCGAGCTCGTCAGAAAATAACTCTACAGACCCCGACCCCGGAGGACAATTTTCAGGTATACTGTACCGCACACAGACGTGCGGGCGCATTGCCTACTCGCAAGGAGCCATGAGGCGCCGTGGTGGGAGACGGTAGGCAAGCCCGCCCGCACGGCTGCGTGCGGTACCGGTAGTGTATACATTCCGGGGTCATGTACCATTTCGTTGCGATCTCCTATGTAAAAATGTTTTCTTGTCGGGCAAAGTGAACGTACAGAAACCGTCGGTGCCGAGCGCCGCCGCCGTCCACCCTCTCACTCCGCACGACCACTTCCGATGTGGATTCGCCTTACGCGCCGGTATCGGTTTCACGCGCACGGGCATTCCCAGGGCCCCCAGGCCCGGAGGCCGTCCCCGCCGCCCCCGCGCGGGGCTCCGGGACCGCAAGGTGAAATGCAAGCCCCTCAGGGCGAGGCCGCCCCGGTGATCCGAGGGGGCAAACCGGAGGGCAAGTGAAGGGGACGAAGGGAAGGATCCGGGCACGACTCTCTGCCGCACCCCGTTGTGGTCAGCAGCGCCTTAGCGGCGCCCCCACAAGTTGTCCTGGTGGTGGCCACCAATACGGCCGGTGAAGGGCGCGCCCCGGGGTTGCCGAAAACGAATCGAAATGAAAACCCCCGTCGATGCGGGTGCGATGTGAGCGCGCACGAGCAACCTGGAAAATAGCCAACCGCGCATCCGGGAAGAAGTAGTGCAGGTCCTAAAAGCGAAGCGGACGGAGTGCACTCCGTCCGCTTCGCAAGTCAAAGGTCCGCACTCGGCACTTGGCAGCCGGTGTTTAGGTATGCAGATTCGCAGGTATTTTAGCTGAAATGCATCCGGCGTCAAAACGCGCGCTGCAATTAGTTCCCGCCGGGAGGGGAATTCCACCGCGCACAGGGGGAGGTGCGACGGCTGAACATTTTTCGGTAGAAGAGAAGGGGTAATACCTGACCGTCCACGTCCTCCAAGGTGTGCCCCACCAGACCCACCTCCTCGTCCTTCGCCCTGTCCGTGTTCAAAAACGCGACGCCGCCGCGCCAAAGGCTGCCAAAGGCAAGCTCGGCAATAAGACGTCGCGTAATGTTACACTCGGCGCGGAGTCAGCATGATTCAGCGCAGCAATGAGACGCTACGAGGAAAAAAAGAAGGAAAATACGAGAGAAATAAAAAAGGGTCAGCCGCCCGGGGAGGAGGTAAGCGCGTTTGTTCAGTCGTACGCTGTGCTAGGACTCGCTGGTTGGAGCGTTATGACGTTTTGTTTTGCCCAGCCTTGACAAGCGGCACTGATGGATAGAGCCGCTGAGACGCCGCCGCCGCCGCTGCTGCCATGGTTGTCGCACAGAGGTGTTGGCATTTTCTCGACATCTAGAGCCCGTCATCAACGAATGTCCTACACTTTACTCCGAGATCCCAGCTCCGGCGGCTCCCAGCCAGCCAGCTCCGTACCGCCGCCGGGCGGGTGGGCAACCCAACGTGCGTCTCGGGCGGGCGGGCACCGCCGCCGTGGGGGGCCAACCCCTTCTACACACCCGCGAGATCGGCTTGCGGCGTACTCAACATCTGATTGCGATGCCAGCAGCAGCGGCCCTCATGAATTAAATTCGAGCCCAAACTCCGACGGCGGCCCCGGGGGCCCTTACCCCTTACGGCCCTTACGTTAGGGCGGCCCCGGTCAGATTGACCGCCGCGCCGCCGTATCAGCTGACCCGCGACCAGCACGGTTGGTGGGCGGGGGATTCGAATCGACACGCACCCAGGGCGCACGTCCGAAAGGGTTCGGCCTGGCGGTGCCGGTGCACGCTAGTGCGCGGGCTGTGCGGGTGGGGTGGCTCGACACTATTCGGACGCGCCACTACTCACTCTCAGCCGCAATGTGTTATTCATGCCTGCCTACCGCCCGGCCAGCCCCGCGTACTACCAGTAGTACTACCCGGCGCACGCCAACGGACCCTTCCGAAATGCGCGGGTTGCACGTCCTCGTCTGCCGCACGGGGCAGGCAGGGCGCGCGGTGCGGGGGCAACTCTACCAGAAGCAAGGGCTGTTCGTGCTCTCGAACGCTGCGCCGACGTTGACCCGCCCTGCCGTCGTCGGCCCGACCGAAATCAATACCAAGACTTGGGCTAAAGTCGCGTGTCGGTAAGGGGACGACAAACTGGTCACGGAGCGAGGGGGACTCACAGTCAGAGGGGTCCAAGGGATCAGTCAGAAAGAAAACGGGTTCGAAACAATGATAAAGATTTAATAGGCCACTTATCAACATTAGTAGGGTGGACACATTATGAAAATTCATAATAAAAAATATAGTGTCTTAATAAAATGATTAGATTGTTGAACACATAAACGATGTTAGCTAATTGTTTTGTTGGAATACATAAAAAATGTTACGTCCTAAGTGAGTAGCGAGGGTAGAGGGTACCTAAGGAGGGTCTTAAACTTAAAGACCCTGGGAAACAAGTTATCTCGTTAACAGGGTCACTCAACCATTTGGTCACAAAATCCTTGATTTAACGTTAATTAAATTATGAATGTGAGCAAAATGTGTAATTATGACAAAATGTCATGGCAATAAACCCAAGCATACCTCTGCATTAAACACACATCAGCATGGCATTAATGGCATCCTCCTTACATTAGCTACAGCAATATTATGCATTGATATTTTAGTGACCAAAAATACTTATAAAAAATAAAAAAATGTTATGTACCTGTAGCCATCACAGACTACTTAACATGGACACCTTGCACTGGCGGTATCAGGAGGAAACAACAGGAATGGACAAATCAGTTAGGTCCTTTGTTCCTCCTATACATGTGAATTTTTACAAATAAGACAACAAAAATGTTTATAAGCATTTTCCGAAGCAAAATTGTAGAAAAATAAAGGTACTAAGACGATTTGTAACAATACATCAATTCAGGTAATTGCACAGACTAGCACAAATAGTTTAACTTAAGACTAAAATTTTAAAATGTCACAGACAGATTGTAAAATATGGGGAATGTCTACAAAAAATTGTGGTCCTATCATGACAGGATTAAATCACAACCTCAACTAACAAATTTTTAGAAAAAAGAATTGCAGGATTAGCTAATCGTTCTTAACTATTTTACTACTTGGAGTTGGCGAGTCTCCATCAGGCTTTGGTATGAAGGCTTTACCATTCAAAGCATAAGAGGGATCAACATGAGTGTAGGAGCCTACAGCTTCACCATTAACTAATTTTTCTGAATACTTCAAGGACTGATTATCACTACTCTTTCCAGTTACAGGCCTCTTTTTATAGTCACTTTTCCAAACACGAAACAGAAGCTGGAAATTCATTCCCATTATGACAAGCAAAGCTGAAACAGAAATTGAAACATGATAACATGAGTTATTTTGTTATTTGAGGGGATGAGGCACATTGATAAGGTACTTACAAAAAACACCCAAACCAAAAACAGTTGTAGTTAGCTCAGCTCTATGGGACAAAAGCCACTGGAACATCCAACCCATGGTGAACACTCGGAAGATAACAAAAGTAACTGGAAACAGGTGCGGAAATCAATGTGAAACGGGCAATTAAAAACACAAATTATTCTTGAAGTGGATTCAGCTCAAAACAATTTAATTACCTATATTCAAAATTCCATTATACCGGTATAAGTCAGATGTTTTTTGAATACCATAAAGTAGCATCATCTGACGCAGATGTAGGAATATGCTGTTGACCTCAACAAGTAGAGCTACAAGCGAATATCCTTGGTAGTAATGAGTGCATACTGACAAACCAAAGCACAAAATAACCTATAAGTAAAATGTAGATGTTGTACTTTCTCTTTAAAAACACAACAAAGATAAGATTCATAACAAAGAAATATTATTGGAACAATACAAACCAGACAATGATGAACGAGAAGTTCTCTGCTATGTTTAAGATCATGGAC